AAAGCCTTGAAATGTAAGACGATAGTTTCTTCATTCATGTAATCATGTTTGTATATTTACTGAATATATGGGCTTTCAATTCACTAACTTTTGTACAATGCAAATTCATTACCAAGAACAATGAAAGAGCGGCTCCAATTTGCACCCAAATTCATATTCAACACTCATTTTTCCAATGTAAAGTCATTACCAAGAGCAATAAACGCATCTTCAGGATAACGTAATACTTTTGTCGAACACTTATCGACTATCCCAAATAATAGGACCTTGTTTGAGTGGATTTAATGAACCAAATTTCTCCAAATGCCATTAACATCACAACCAACAAGCAAACTACAATCAAACACAATACAGTGAATACACAATCGATTTTCACCAAAAGATTACGTCAACAGGAGACTACCTATTTCACTAGATTAAAGGGATCTTAATTACTCAAACTCTTGTGAAGCTTGTTCTATCATTTGTATTAAATATATTTATTTCAAGTAATTTTGAGTAGCTAATTCTCCTTCTTCCCATTCTTGCTCACCCTGGTATTTTCTTTGTTGAAAAGAGTGTGTTTTCTTGAATGGAAGAGAGTACTACTCATATACCTCGAACAAATTACTTGCCAAAGGAGAATTGTTGCTTCAAGAACGAGGTGAGTGGCACAACAACAATTATAGAAACAATGATGACAAACGCAAGCATGCCTTGGTCGAAGACATTGAATAATGTTGAACAAAATATCACCATCATAGATGCTATTGACATGGAAAGTGTCAAAATTCCAAAGGCCAGCTTTGCAGGTAACCAAGGAAGGCAATCTTCTTCCTCACAGTTGGAAGTATAAAGGGATAGGAAGATCTGTTGGATGATGGCTTGAAACGCTGTCATATTTGCACTTAAATGGAACGACGTCGTTTTGATTCAAACTGAAGAAACAATCCTGAGCGTTGATGAAAAGAAGATCTAACGGTTAGAATTTAACCCTAATGTCAACCATATAAAAGCAGAGTTATTTGGCAGTTTACGCATTCATCCATTTTTGCAAATCTCTCTCTTTTTCGTTAAACACCATTTTGAGTCTTTAGTGTTTTCAATTTGGGTTGAGTGAATCTTGTAACTTGTTGATTGAGTGACGAGGTCAGGTCATTCTGGGTGTATTGTATACGCTGTATATAGGGATTCGAATGGTGTAATCTCTAGGGTGAGTTACAGGTTGAAGAAGGGGTTTTGAGGGATTTGTGTTGTTATGTGTAATCTGTAATCTTGATAGTGATTTAGTGCAGCAAGCTCGTGTGATTCCCGAGTTCAAACATGGACGTAGCTTACTCAAATATAGAGCAAGTGAACCACGGTAAATCTGGTTGTTCTTGTGTGTGTTTATTGTGATTCTTGTTCTTGATCTGTTGTTATTTGGTTGATTCTTTCTGTGAGTGGTTATAACAGTGGTATCAGAGCCATTCTTGGAGATTAGGGTTTCTTGTTACAAATTAGGGTTTCGCAAAATTAGGTTTCGTGAAATTAGGGTTTCGTAATATTAAGGTTTCTGGAAATTAGGGCTTTTCGAAACTATGATTCCTTCTAGTCTCCAATAGGATCTAGGGAGTCAAATCTTGGTTAAGTTCTAAAGGTATATAGGCTAGAAACTAGAAACTGCCTTAAAAACTGCTTGGCAGTAATTGGCAAATTATGGTGTAACAACGCCACCTACCTTCTTAGATTCTTTGTTGTTTTCTTTATTTTCATTATATTGTAATGAGTACCACTCGTATGGAGATCTCCCAATATGATGGGAAGATCGATTTTGGGAGTTGGAAGAAAAAGATGAAAGCATTGCTTTCTCACAACAAGGTTGCCATCGCACTAGAAGAAGACTTCGAAAAATGGCTAGAGGAGAAGTTGAAAAAGAAAGAAGAGATCAATGAGGAGGCATACAATCTGATAATCATGAATCTGTCTGACAGCATCCTCCGGAAGGTAGATGGAATTGAATCATCGATTGAACTCTAGGGTAAACTCACTACCTTGTATGCTTTGCAATCTGCCCCCAACCTAGCTTTTTTAAAGGGGGCTTTATTCTCTTATACAATGGATAGTGCTAAGAGTATAGATGAAAACCTAGACGAGTTTCTGAAAATGACCTTGGTCCTAAAAGGGACAGATCAAGCCTTAGGAGAAACCAGCCTAGCCATGATTCTATTGAATTCCCTGACTGATGACTACCAGGTAGTCAAGAATGCCCTATAGTACTCGGGTACTGTACCAAATCTTGACCTAATAATAGCAGGACTTAGGGCTAGAGAATTAGAATTGAAAACCCAGAAACTGAATGGCACAAATCTGTTTGTTAAGAGTAAACCAGAACCTAGTCAAACTAGCAAGGGAAATCAGAATAATCAGGGGGCTAGAAATAAGAAAAAATGGAAGGGCAGTAATAAGTATAGAGGAGAGTCCAGAAAATGTTTCTTTTGTAATAAAACTGGGCATATTAAAAAGAACTGTTTTGAGCGGATTAAAAAGCGAAAACAAGGTAATACTGAGAATAACCTAGCCACTACTAGAAACCTGATAGAGGAACCTGAAGTACTTACTGTGTCAATGAAAATGACACTGGTGAAGAATGGGTGCTGGACTCAGGCTGTTCCTTTCACATGAGTCCTAGGAGAGACTAGTTCCAGGAATTTGAAAATGTTGAAAATGAAACTGTTTACATGGGAAACAATAATGCATGCAGAGTAAGAGGGATAGGCACAGTGACTCTAAGGGTTAACATTGGAAAAATGGTAAAACTAACTAGGGTTAGATACATACTAGAACTTAAAAGAAATTTGATATCCTTTGGCACCTTAGATGAATCAGGATGTTGTTATAAAGCAGAACATGGATGCTTGAACATATATAGAGATAACAACTTGATATTGAAAGGAGAGAAAAGAAATGGCCTTTATATTCTTTGTGGGAATCATTCCCAAAACTGCTTTAATTCTGTGATTACTTCTATTAACTTGTCCAATACAGAAAAATGGCATCTTAGATTAGGCCACATGAGTCAAAGAGGCATGGACATTCTGAAGCATAAAGGGTAGTTTGGTAAGGACAAGACCACATCCCTCGAATTCTGTGAGAATTGTGTTTTAGGGAAACAGCATATAAATAGTTTCTCTAAAGGGACACACCTAGTCACTAGACCACTAAAATACATTCACTTTGACCTTTGGGGACTTGGAAAAGTAAAGTCTTATGGAGGGAATAACTACTTTATGTCTCTGGTGGATGACTACAGCCGCAAGGTGTGGGTGTACTTATTGAAATCCAAAGATCAGGCTCTAGCTAGGTTTAAGGACTGGAAAACCTTAGTAGAGAACCAAATGGGAAAAAAAGGTGAAGGTTCTTAGAACAGACAATGAGTTGGAATTCTGTAATCAAGAATTTGATAAGTTTTGTAGTGACTAAGGGGTTTTAAGACATAGGACAGTAACCTATACCCCACAACATAATGGAGTGGCAGAACGAATGAATAGAACTCTCCTTGATAAGGTTAGGTGCCTGTTAATAACCTCCAAACTCCCCACCTCCTTTTGGGGAGAAGCTCTTACAACAGCTACATACTTGGTAAATAGAAGCCCATCTACTGCAATAAACCTAAAGAGCCCTGAGGAAATGTGGACTGGTAGAGTCCCAGCTTTAAGCCACTTGAGAGTTTTTGGGTATGCAGCTTATGCACACACCACAGGAGGAAAATTGGAACCAAGGTCAACCAAGTGCATATTCCTGGGGTATCAAGAAGGGACCAAAGGTTATAGACTCTGGGATAGAGATACTCCAAGGGTTAGAATCATTGTGAGCAGAGATGTGATATTCAATGAGGGAGTATTTCTTTGTAAGGAAACTAGAACCAAAACTGACCCTATGTCAAGTATAGATGATCCCTTCACCCAACCTGAAGTTACACTAATTAAGGTGGAGCTTCCTGTCCAAACTCAAACTAGCAAGAAACTAAAGCTGTTACTGAACATGGAGGAGAAACTGGACAAATTGATCCAGAACATAAGGATGAGATAGAAACAACAGATGACACTAAGATTCAACCTGAACACTTGCAAGACTACTAGCTTGCAAGAGACAAAACCAGAAGATAGGTAAGGGCAACCATGAGATATTCCTATGCTGATCTAATAAACACTGCCCTCATTGCAGGTACTGAAGTACAAAGAACGGAACCAGAAACTTATGAGGAAGCCATGTAGACAAAAGAAAGTGACCAATGGAAGGCTGCAATGGAAGCTAAAATGAAATCCTTAGAGGTGAACAGAACTTGGAAGCTTGTACCAAAGCCTAAGGATCAGAAACTTGTACAATACAAGTGGCTATTCAAACTAAAGAAAGGTATCACTGATAAGGATCCCCTCAGGTATAAGGCTAGACTTGTAGCCAAGGGTTTCACACAAAAAGAGGGAATAGACTTCAATGAAGTCTTTTCCCCAGTATTTAAGTACAAAACCATAAGGCTTATGCTGTCCATAGTAACTTACTAGGATCTAGAGCTTGAACAATTAGATGTCACAACTGCATTTCTACATGGAGATCTTGAGGAAGAGATCTACATGAGCCAACCCTTAGGTTTCATAGATAAAAGGGCCCCCAATCATGTCTGCCTACTGTTGAAATCCTTATATGGTTTAAAGCAATCCCCTAGGCAATGGTATAAGAGGTTTGACAACTTTATAGTAAGTATAGGATTCACTAGGAGTAAGTATGACAGTAGTTTCTACTTTGCTGTTTTAGATGAAATATCTATGTACTTACTACTGTATGTAGATTATATGTTACTAATAAGCAAATCAAAGCCTCTGATCTGTGAGTTAAAGAATAAACTGGATGCAGAATTTGAAATGAAAGACCTAGGGGATGCTAGGAAGATTTTAGGCATGCAAATTGATAGAAACAGAAGTAAATGCAAACTAAAAATTCACCAGTGTTCATATATGCATAAGTTAGTAGAAAAATTTGGAATGTCAGGGTCCAAAACTATCTCAATGCCTTTAGCAAACCACTTCACATTAAGCAAGGCTCAATGCCGTAATACTGATGCTGAGTTTATTAGAATGGAGACCATACCCTATGCTAATGTGGTTAGATCCTTGATGTATGCTATGATTAGCACTAGGCCCGACTTATCATTTGTGATATCATTGCTGAGTAGATTCATGTCCAATCCTGATATGGAACATTGGACAGCCCTGAAGTGGGTACGCAAATATGTTAGTGGATCTTTAAATGTGGGACTGGAATACTGTAAAAGATATGCCTCACTTGAGCTGGATGGTTTTGTAGATTCTTATTTTGCAGGTGACAGGGACAGTAAGAAGTCAACCACTACATATTACTTTACCTTGGGGGGCAACTACATCAGCTGGAAGTCCCAATTACAGCCTATAGTTGCACTATCAACAACCGAAGCTGAATATGTGGCTGTAGCTGATGTATTTAAAGAGGCAATGTGGCTCAAAGGGATCCTGAGTGAAGCAAACCTGTCTGAACTGAGGCCANCTGTCCAAACTCAAACCAGTCAAGAAACTGGAGCTGCTACTGAACATGAAGAAGAAATTGGACAACTGATCCAGAACATGAGGATGAGATAGAAACAGTAGATGATACTGAGATACAACCTGAACACTTGCAAGACTACCAGCTTGCAAGAGACAGAACCAAAAGACAGGTAAGGGCACCCATGAGATATTCCTATGCTAACCTAATATACACTGCCCTCCTTGCAGGTACTGAAGTACAAAGAAGAGAACCAGAAACCTATGAGGAAGCCATGCAGACAAAAGAAAGTGACCAATGGAAGACTGCAATGGAAGTTGAAATGAAATCCTTGGAGGTGAACAGAACCTGGAAGCTTGTACCAAAGCCCAAGGATCAGAAACTTGTACAATGCAAGTGGCTTTTCAAACTAAAGGAAGGTATCACAGATAAGGATCCCCTCAGGTATAAGGCTAACTTGTAGCAAAGGGTTTTACCCAAAGAGAGGGAATTGACTTCAATGAAGTCTTTTCCCCAGTAGTTAAGTACAAAACCATAAGGCTTATGCTATCCATAGTAGCTCACCAGGATCTAGAGCTTGAACAACTAGATGTCACAACTGCATTCCTTCATGGAGATCTTGAGGAAGAGATCTACATGAGCCAACCCTTAGGTTTCATAGATAAAAGGGCCCCTAATGATGTCTGCCTACTGTTGAAATCCTTATATGGTCTAAAGCAATCCCCTAGACAATGGTATAAGAGGTTTGACACCTTTATAGTAAGTATAGGATTCACTAGGAGTAGATATGACAGTTGTTTCTACTTTGATGTTTTAGATGAAATACCTATTTACTTACTATTGTATGTAGATGACATGTTATTAATAAGTAAGTCAAAGCCTCTGATCTGTGAGTTAAAGAAGAAACTGAATGCAGAATTTGAAATGAAAGACCTAGGGGATGCTAGAAAGATTTTAGGAATGCAAATTGATAGAAACAGGAATAAATGCAAACTGAAAATTCACCAGTGCTCATATCTACATAAGTTAGTAGAAAAGTTTGGAATGTCAGGGTCCAAAACAGTCTCCATGCCTTTAGCAAACCACTTCACCTTAAGCAAGTCCCAATGCCCTAATACTGATGCTGAGTCAATTAGAATGGAGACCATCCCCTATGCTAATGTAATTAGATCCTTGATGTATGCTATGATTAGCACTAGGCCTGACCTATCATTTGTGATATCTTTGCGGAGTAGATTTATGTCCAATCCTGGTATGGAACATTGGACAGCCCTGAAGTGGGTACTCAAATATGTTAGTGGTCTTTGAATGTGGGACTGGAATATTATAAAAGGGATCCTTGATGTATGCTATGATTAGCACTAGGCCTGACCTATCATTTGTGATATCTTTGCTGAGTAGATTTATGTCCAATCCTGGTATGGAACATTGGACAGCCCTGAAGTGGGTACTCAAATATGTTAGTGGGTCTTTGAATGTGGGACTGGAATATTATAAAAGATCTGCCTCACTTGAGCTGGATGGTTTTGTAGACTCTGATTTTGCAGGTGACAGTGACACTAGGAAGTCAACCACTGCATATTACTTTACCTTGGGAGGCAACTGCATTAGTTGGAAGTCCCAATTATAGCCTATAGTTGCACTTTCAACAACCGAGGCTGAATATGTGGCTGTAGCTAATGTATTTAAAGAGGCAATATGGCTCAAAGGGATACTAAGTGAAGCAAAACTGACTGAACTGAGACCAACCATTTTTTCATACAGTCAAAGTGCAATTCACTTGAGTAAGAATCCAGTATACCATGAGCGAACCAAACACATAGATGTTCGCTATCACTTTGTGAGAGATCTGATCACTAGAGGGGAGATAATATTCAATAAGGTTCCCACAGAGCATAATCCAACAGACATGGGTACGAAGATTGTTACTATTGCAAAGTTCAAGCATTGCTTGAACCTACTGTCCATTCAGTAAGCAACAGTAACAAGAGAACAATGAAGGACTCACTAAAGGCAAGTTGCACTAAGCATAGGGTCTATTGTTCAACCCATCAAGGTGGAGATTGTTGGATGATGGCTTAAAACGCTGCCGGATTTGCACTTAATGGAACGACGTCGCTTTGCTCTAAATGACAGAAACAATCCTGAGCGTTGATGAAAAAGGAGATCCAACGGATGAAATTCAACCCTAATGTCAACCATATAAAAGCAGAATTATTTTGGCAGTTTATGGATGCAATTCATTTTCGTTTTAGAAGTCTCTCTCTTCTTCGTTAAACACCATTGTTAAGCCTTTAGGGTTTCTACAGTCTGGGTTGAGTGTTTCCTGTAACTTCATTGTTGAGTGACTGGTCAGGTCATTATGGGTGTAGAGTATACACTGTATTTAGGGATTCGAAGGGTGTAATCTCTAGGGTTTAGTTACGGGTTGAAGAAGGGGTTTTGAGTGACTTGTGTTGCTAAGTGTGTAATCTGTAATCTTGACAGTATTAGTGCAGTGAGCTCGTGTTATTCTCGAGTTCAACGTGGACGTAGCTTGCTCAATCATAGAGCAAGTGAACCACGGTAAATCTGTTGGTCTTGTGTGTGATTCTTGATCTTGATTTGTTGCTTTTGTTGGTTGATTCTTTCTTTGAGTAGTTGTAACAGTATGAAATAATCAATCATAGAAAGAAACCCCTTTTCAAATATTATGCATTGAAAGAATAATTCGGACGTCTTATTATTAATTTATCAGAATTATAAATATATATTATTAAATCTGAGTTGTAAATGTCATATCAATCATATGAAAGGAATCCAGTAGTGATTAAACTTGATAAAAATAATATCAGTCTGTCCTAACTAAACATATGTAGATTAGTACATATATGTTAAGATATAGTGACTTAATTTTTTGACACTCCTAATGACCCATTGACCTTTGTTAATCCAACACTGATGAGAGATGCTGAGTCACATTAAATGTAGCTACGTTGAATCTTTATCTTATCACAGTTTGATAAACAAACATGTCAAATACGTTTAAGTTCTTTAAATACCATAATTTAAATAATAAAAGTAGCAAAGAAAGTAAGCTAAGAACCAGAATATTATGTCCCAGAAGGGATAAGTTGAAATATGGAGCTCAACCTTCTCCTCCTGGATGCCGAATAGAATACAGAAGAGTTAAAGAACCTGAATTGGGTATAATATAGAACATTATGTTACTCATATTGAAATTCTCAGTAACATGTTAATTAAAGATGAACACCCAGAATATTATGATCATCGCGTATTAGGTTTTTTAATAATATAAAAACTAAAGAAATCACATGGGGTGACTAAAAACAGAAACATAAATATAATAATAGTAAAGAAATCTCATGTACAAATTTTCCCTTACTATGTTTCTTATATTAATTCTCAATGACACGTAAATTATGAGTCCAGAAAAGTGTAAACTAAAGAACTGCCCTTTAATTTTAGGTGCATCCAGAGGCACCATGGTTCCTTCAGACTTCAGAGAAATTACCAGGCAATTACTAACTAACTAAATGACCATGCATTTTCAATTAGGAAGAAAGGGCTATGTTTCTCTATTTCCGTGTGGGACGAAGGTAAAGCTTCTCATATTGACTTAGATTTGAACGAAATAGAGACAACAACAGGAACAAAAATAATAATAAAACAAAACAAACAGTAAACAAAGAAAAAAATAATACGCGTGATTTATCCTGGTTCACCCAATATGGGCTACGTCCAGCTGAGTCAATATTATTGCAATATGTCTCACCTCTCTCGTTTATAATGAATGAATTGCTCTCACCTCATAACAAGAGAAAAGAATGTTTATATACTAGGTTTAAGAGATTAAACCTAGTTTTACAAGAATTCCTATTCCTAAGCCCAACCCAAAAAGGAATTAATAACTTAAACGGAATCCTACAGCGGTTATACATGGAAAAGCCCAAAACCACCTACGGGCTCGAGACCCCCGAGTGCATCTTTGTTACCCATTAATGCTGAAGTAGTCGACAACTCCAACAAGATTGACTCGGTGTATTGTATTTTCCTTACCCTTCCTCTCTTATTTAAAGTAAAATTATTGAAATTTCATCTCACTAACTATTCCAAGCCCTAACCCTGTTAGACTTTCGTTAATGAATGCATTGAAACTGATCAATTTACCCTTATTTTTTCACATTAAACCAACTGAAATAGAATAATTAATTAGTCAAGTTAAAAAGTAATTACGAACGTTTAAAAAACAAAACCCCGCCAAAAATTATCCCACCTGTTGAACAGTAACGCAGCCACCGACCGTCCCTCTTTGTAGCTCATCGAGCCACCACCAACTAAGTGAATCAACCACTCTAGCACCCTCAACGCACAAAAGAACCAAACCCACCGCGTCAAAATCCATCACAACGGCACGCACACTAACAAACCACCATCACAGCCCCACCTCCACCCTCCTTCCCACCCCATAAAACCAAGAAATACACAACCCACAAACAAGCCACTCGCACAACAAAATGAAAGCCAGTCAACCCAACTCCACATCACGAAAAATTAAAAAAAAAAAAAAGAATAATAAGAAAGAATGACTGATCGATTGGGCTGGTCATGGGGCGCCACGGTGTGAGGTGCGGTTTGCGGTTTGGAGATTGTGTTTTGAGTTAACAAAACGTTTAAAGATAATAAAAGAAAAGAAAAGGAAATGGAATTACATCCTTACCCCTTAAATTCTAGCAGATTCCAAACATAGTCAATTTCCGAAGTGATTAGTGATGAATTTCAGCTAAGTGATTATTTTTGAAACTTCCTTTTCCAAAAAAAATAAAAAAATAAAAAAATAAAATTGGAAAAATCATCTGGGGTGGAAATAGTTTTCTCTCATTTAACATTTTTTAATAATAGAAGTTGGGCTTAATAAAATAAAATTTAGAGGGTAAATAGCGTCACTCTACAATTACTCTACAATTATTTATTTATATCATTGTTATTTATTCATGACACTATTAACGTATATTATAAAATTATGAATTATAATAAGAAAAAATGAAATTTTTATACATGTAAATAAAGAGAAATTAAAAAAATAAAAAAGGAT